ATATAAATGTGGACACTGTAACATACTAGGCGGAAGGCATGTGAGTAATGACAGCAAATGGAAAGACAAGGAATGTTAATCCAACTAACTAGAATGGTAGAGATCTAAATTCAGTCATAACAAATAAGAAAAGAACACATGATCATTACAAGTTAACAAGTAGAGGCATGACTCACTAGCATGGTGGAAGGCTTGTACTAAAGTGCAACAGATTAGATACGACATGAGTATAATTACAACAGTAGAAAATGGGCATGGCATGTGCAAGTTAAACAAGTAAAAGACATGGACAACACAACAATAATTGAGATAGAGGTCAAGTACAGGACAATAACAACAAGTCACACAAAATATATAATTACGACAATAACAGCTCAAGGTAAAGGCATAAATATATACACGGGAAATAGATATCACATCATAATACATGTCCCTCATCCTCACATGTACGGAAACACCCTTCGTGCCATTAACTAACAATAATAAAAGCATAACAATATAAATGAAATGGCACGGCATCACCTTTCATGCTTTTACACTCACATGATATGGCACGACATCACCCTTCGTGCTTTTACTCTCAATAATGTGACATGACATCACCCTTCGTGCTTTTACTCTCAATAATATGGCACGACATCACCCTTCGTGCTTTACACTCTTTCTTACCAAGCATGTGCATATTAATAAAAAAGGCAAGGCAAGAGTATAAATAACATCAAGGAGAGTGTTCGAACGAATATTTCAAACAAATTCTCAATCACGGCTTTCCAAACCAACAATGATTCAATAAATCCTTGAGAGCCGTATTACTCAAGTACTTCCACAAATCTCACAAATGATCAAAAACACAAGTATAGAATCTAGTATCTCAAGAAGATCGGTTGTAGCAATGTATTAATGATTATGCATAGAGATGACAGAATTAGACACATCAATGTATTCTCGGAATTTCCATCAAATTTGATCGAGTTATATTATGCTAAGTCTTGATTTCCAAAATTTAATACTATATTCTTAATATCTAAAAGTCAAGTGAGGAATAAGCAAGCAAGAACATTACGTAATTCTACAAGATACAATTATAACATAATCTATCCCCCCCCCCTCCGAGTATGATTAACCCTGGCACATACATATACTCTCGTCATCTCATATATGTATCACCCCCGCATGTAGCAAACAATGTCAAATAGGAGAAAAATTTCCCTCAACAAAGTTAGGCAAAATACTTACCTCAATTCAGCTAACTCAATACTCAAATTTAGATTTTTCCTTTACCAATTTACCTCCGCTCGGCTCAATCTAGCCAAAGAAGACTTGAATATATTTTACAATGCAAGAGAAAATAATTTAAATTAATAAAGTTGTGATTTTTATTCAATTTCTAAAAAGTCAATAAAAGTCAAACCCCAGGCCCGCCCAGTCAAAACCCGAGTCCAAAGGTAGGTCTTGACTACCCAAAGGCTCACGAGTCCAAATATGTGTTTTGTTTTTAAATTCGAGTCCTATTCGACTCTCAAATCCCAGATTTTCATTTTTCAAAACTTTGACAAAATCCCCAAGTTTTTCCTAGATTTCTCATGAATTTGATGTTAAATCTTATAAAAAATCATGAAATATATTTGGAAATTTATTAGACACACTTACCCAATGATTTGGTATGAAAACCCCTTCATAAAATCGCCTCCCATCGAAGCTAGGGTTCAAAATATATGAAAATGAAGCTTAGACTCGGAATTCTCAGTACTTAACAGGATGCAGATGTCGCATTTGCGATATGGGATTCGCAAATGCGAACCCGCAAGTGCAAAAATCTTATCGCAATTGCGAACCGGGAGGATTCCTGTCAAGGTCGCATTTGCGACCAAAATTTCGCAAATGGGAAGACCAACTTTCGCAAATATGGCTCGCAAATGCGAATTTTGCCCAGCAGCCCAGGCTTCGCAATTACGGCTGTTGCATTTGCGACGAAAACATCGCAAATGCGATTATACCAGCACCAACAATCAAAGATTATGGAAAATATCACGGAATCAATCTGAAACTCATCCGAGCCCTCGAGGCTCCAAACCAATCATGCACACATGTCCAGAAACACAACACGAACTCACTTGTGCGCTCAAATCATCAAAATAGCCTCTAAAATCACGAGTCGGACACCAAAATGCATGAAGATCAAAGTTAAATTCTAAGAACTTCTAGAATCACAACCAAGAGTCCGAACCATATCAAATCAACTCCAAATGGCGCCAAACTTTGCAGACAAGTTCTATATGACAAAACGAACCTACTCGAAACTACAAATCACGCATAACAACCTCGAACGATGAATCACACCTCAAGTCAAAACCAATGAACTTTGAAACTTCAACTTCTACAATCAATGTCGGAACCTATCAAATCACCTCCATTTGACCTTAAATTTTGCACACAAGTCACATTTGCCATTACAGACTTATTCCAACTTTTGAAATCGTAAACCCTGATATCAAAAAGTCCACTCCCAGTCAAACTTCTCAAAAATCCAACTTTTACCAATTCAAGACTAATTCGACTACGGACCTTCAAATTACAATCTGGATGCGCTCCTAAGTCCAAAATCACCCAACAGAGCTAGCGGAACTGACGGAACTCCATTCCGAGGTCAAATGCTAAAAAGTGATACTTGGTCAATTCTTCCAACTTAGAACTTAAATCTTAAAGTTCATTCTTCCAAATCAATTCCGGATAACTTGAAAACCAATACCGACGATTTACGCAAGTCATAATACATCATGTGGAGATACTCGAGCCCTCAAAATACCGAGCGAAGTGCAGATACTCAAAACAACCAGTCGGGTCGATACACAAAATATCAAAATAACCTCTTGAATCAAGAATCGGACGCCAAAACGAATGGAAATTCCCATGAACTTTGAAACCCTCTAGAATCGCAACCACGCGTCCGAACCATATCAAATCAACTCCAAATGACGCCAAATTTTGCAGGAGAGTTCCATATGACGAAACGGACCTATCCCAAGTTTTGAAACCAAAATTTGAATCTGATAGCCTTAAAGTTAACTTCCGGTCAAACTTATGAACTTTCTAAACTTTCAAATTTCCAACTTCCGCCAAATAATGTCGAAACCCTCTTGAAACATCCAAATGAAATTTCAGGCATATACCTAAGTCAAAAATCATCATCCGGACCTATCGAAACCATCGAAACTCCAATCTGAGGTCAAATACTCAAAAGTCAAACCTTGGTTAATTATTTCAACTTCGAGCTTCTCAAATGAGAGTCACTCATTAAAACCCCTTTCGAGCCTCTCAAAAATCCGAGCAGATGATGCACGCAAGTCATAATACACCATATGAAGTTACTCATGACCTCAAACTGCTGAACCGGACGTAATTGCTCAAAACAACTTGCTTAATCGTTACAATAACATGTTTCTCAAGAAAATAATTCAAAATATGAGATGTGCCATGACATTATCCTAAATTATTGAACAATAAAGATAATAAAATCGTCTAAAATAAATATTGCTAACTAATAAGCCATAATAAAATTGATCATAATCTAAAAGTACTAAGTCATGCTAAAATAAGTATGACTAACAAGTACTATTAATTACATGACTAAACACTGAAGAAAAAATAAAAATAGGTTATGCATTTTTATCTAAATAATTACAAAATTAAAAAATAGATATCTTACACATTGATCATTCCTGGTATTGAAAGGAATATCTTTTGTTAGCATTAGTGTTGATTTGATTTTGGTTTGGAGTTTTTTCTAGCATTATTTGAGTTACTAATATTTATGGACTATAAAATTTATTAGAGCATTCAAAAGTTCTAAGTCCAACCTTGAAATAACACGTTAAAAGATAAAACTATGAAAACAGTTTAAGAAATATTTATAAATTACATTACAATAAATATTTTTATATATTAAATATATTTCAAATATAATATCGGATTAATTTAGTTTCAGTTTGACTTTTTTAGTTAAAACCAAAATCAAACCAATTATGATCGAATTTTTTTTCTAATATCAAACCATAGTCAAATTGTTTTTCTTGATTTAGTACGGTTTGTCAATTTTCTTTGTATACCCTATTTGTCGATATGTTCCTTTTACCAAGATTCTAATTTTTTGGCTGAGTTAGGGAATGGTATTATCCTTTTCAAAGTTTTCACTTGTTACTTTTCATAATTGAAATTTGAGCTCGGAACTTTGGCATCACCATTTCATTGACCTTTTCCAATTAATCCAAGCTGTCATCAGGTATAATTCTTTTACTACGTGTCGTTTGTTGGTGCTTCACTTATCTTATATCTTGCAATTGTTATTGTTTTCCTTTCAGATGACTTTTACTTTATCGTATTTTTCTCCAAAACTGTTGTGATTAGATTTTCTTAAGCCGAGTATCTATCGAAAATAATCTTTTTACCTTCATAAGATAGAGGCAAAATCTACGTACACAATACATTTCTCAGACTCATACTTGTGCTTGTGGTATTAGACTGTATAAGTTGTTGCCATCAGGTTGGAAACAACCAATTTGTTCTCAAAACATTTACTAGTTTTTTTTGGGGGAAGATTTTAACCAATCACAATTCGAACTTAAATTCTTGAATTTTGATTATATTGTAAATGAAAGAAGAGGGAGATTTAAACAATCACTTTGGACTTAATATTTGAACCTTTTAAAGATCCGTTACCACAATGCTCTACAAGAAGCTTAGAGCCTTTGGTGTAGGTCTTGCTTCCATTTTCATTAGCTTTGATTTGCTATTGCATTTTTTGAAGCCTTTTAACGATCTAGTCTTCTAACTTTGATTTCTCATTTAGCATTATTCACAGACATTGACTCTTTATAATGCATCTTAAAATTCTGAAGCAACTGAACGGAAGTGTTTCTGTTCACAAAATATCACCTATTCAAAGTGACTAGCTGCAATAGAAATCATAAACAAACTACACCAACCAACTCACAGAGAGCACATGTAAAGAATGTTAAACCTCGGATAACCGAACTAGGTCTCCATGTTTGTAGATCTCATTTTATTTCGTGTAGAGGTGCTGGAAAGGAAAGCTCACCCAACACCAATGAAGATCAATCAGTGAAAATATACAAAAACTATGACTTCAGAGCTATTGATATACATTTGTACTAACTGTACTACTAAGCAGGTAAGTACTTCAACATATTCGAATTCAATTACTTGTACAAGACATGAATGTACAATATAATCGCCCCGCCTGTATGGTGCCAACCCACCCCCCCTCAAGAACCCAAACAGAAGATGAAAGTGGGGGGCGAAGGAAGGACAAACTTGTCTCTGATGGAAAATCGACATGTATATCCGTAGAGGTTATGATTACCATTGAATCTGACCAAAAGTTGGTGCTGCTTCTCGACGTAAACTGATGCACACATCTGACTGTTCTGGCTGCTTTGAACAGTATTTCCTCTCAGAGTAAATGCTGTTCAAAAGGTTTGAAACTGTGGTAGAGATGTTGGTGAGACATCAACTCAAGAGCTAGGCATATTCAGCAGCTCCAGTTAACAACCAATGTGAACTACAGTAAAAATAAACCTCTACCATTGAAAGCCAAAACTACAATAGAAAATTTAAGACTTGGAATTTTAGTAAGGTGGCACAGGGCTGTCATAGCTGGAAAGTGCCCAAATCACGGCCATGTTGGGTGAGTTTTATTTTTCTTTGACCAACCCATTCTATTCTGTAAGAAAGATCAATATTATGAAGCAGTTGTTTAAATCTGTCCAGTTCATTCGACGCATTGGTGTTCTCCTGCATGAAAGATAATCAAGAAATAAGACAGGACAATGTAGTAGCAGATATATTTTTGGAATTTGACAAAACCAAAGTTGTCTTGCACAAATCATCTTTGGAGCCATAAGAATCTGTGCAAAACAACGCTTATTCAATATAAGAACATCTGGTTATAAGAACTGTCTCAGGAGTGCATACCTTTGGATTAGCTTCTCCATCTTTACCGAATACACTTGCCATTATGCTTGATCTATTAGCATTAGGCAAGAATCCCTCCCAAGGTGGGACAAAAATCAGTTTCGTGCACTGGACATGAACTAGATTCTTGCTCAGTTTCTCCCACCACACAGATCCCGACGAGTAGGACCACCATCTTATCATCATCCCAGTCTCAGAAAAAGCAACTACCCCCTACAAGTAAAACAACATTGTATAAAACTTGTGGACGCAATCTTTCAAAGGTGGTATCATTGTGCACAATCAAGTGGATAATAAACATGCAATGCGAAACGCCTAACATTACACATTTGTTCTGTTTACAGCCCTTCTAATAACTTTAAACTCTACATTGACTCTTGTAGGACCAGGAGAGGAGGGCAACAAGTTAATGAAACAATGAAAATGTCTCTATCTCTAACAAAAGAAGAAAAATCTCTTGTAGTGATTCGGATGCAGCAGTTCTATTAGTAGGGACTGGAATTCCTAATTGGCCATTTGCTAAAGGTACAACGGACAAACCCACTCATGCAACAAAACTTGCACAATAACATTGACAACTTTGCAATGATGAACTTAAAGAGGAAGATCATATGAAACAGTTCATCAGGTATTATACCTCTCCATCCGGTGAAAAGCTAAGTGCTGATATTGCAGTAGTCACAGTCATTCCTGAAGCTCCTCCAAGCAAACTGGGAAATCCTGGAGGTCCACTTGCATCTAAGACTTTTATTTTTGTCATGCTGCATTAGGGTTTAAAACAGAATCAATATTACAAGCAATTAGATGAATAATAGATCTCAAATTACCTAGGTGCTCTCAATCATCAAAAACAGGGCCCCAAAACCCGGATCCTGACAAGGCCAGGAGTGGAGAAAGAACAGATTTACTTTGGTTCATGTTAAAGTCTTTTTTCTTATAATCGAGAAATCGCTGATGGCCAGTGGCGCATAGGTGAAACTTGGGGGATGTTGGCCCCGCCCCTTTACCCTTCTCCAAGTAAATATCAGGCTTTTTTCTGCGGCAGGGTTCGAACCTGTGACATGAGCCTAACCGACGCCTCACGCACTTTGTTAGAGAGAAACCAAGGGAAAGCCTTGAATTGGGATTGCACAGAGCAAAGCCTTGAACTTTTTAAAAGAACTTTGAAAGCCAAAGGAGAAAGTATCAATTACAAAAAGACATGGATTAATTACAAAGCTATAGCTACTTATCTCAAAAAAGGAAGGTTTACAAAGCTACAGTTCAAGAGAATAGAAAACTCTAAAATCGAGTATAGTATGCTTAATATTGACAACCAAGGATACTCAAAAGGAAGAAGAAATATAAATTACAAAAACAGTCCTAAAACAAACAAAAATCTAAATGATGAAAAGTCACCCCAAACAAGCAAGAGCTATCAAACAACCCTAACATTAAAGGGCAGTTACCAGACTGCTTTTCTTTCTCTTTTTTCTGTTTTTGGACAAATGAGTGTCACCGAACTACAAAGTAGTTATAACTATATTTTCTTCATCGACCCTCTTTTCCTATATCAGTTCTTCCCTTTACAGATTCACATCATTCTCTTAGGAGCAACAGTTGGCAGAAAAACTATTTCCTCTTTTCTTTTTTATGATGAAAGACTATTTTGCATTTCCTCTTATGAATAATCAAAAAGGATGTTGGCATGGTAGCCAAAAAAATTGATTCTGCAGGTTCTTTACTGCATGTATTCTCAGTTGCATGACGAACACAAACAAATAATAATGACAATAATAAGGTCCAATGGAGCAGAATGAAACCTGTAACAATTAGCCTTATTATTATATAGCATATAGTTAAAATTGGTGCTTAATCAAGTTTCTAGTTCTGCATTCCAGCATGTTTGTTACTAAAGATTACTAGAATAAAGAGGGAAAGAAGCTGTTCATATGGCTGCCAGAATATTAAGTTGTATTGTTCACTAACCTTTGCATGTCATATACCCGAATGCTTGCATTGTTAATCTCTCCAATCGCATCTCCAACAGCTAATCGTGTCAATGGATCATTTAGTGCCACCATAGGGAATATGCGTGCAATTTCCTTCAATGCCACCATTGAATTTTGCAAGCAAGTTCTTCGCATGACTAAGTTACCTGGATCCATTGTCTGTAAAATGAAAGTGACCACCTGCAGATCTATCTAGGTGTTAGACATGCTAAATCTGAGAATAGCTTCAGTGCTAGAAGCACAGTTGTCTTCTTATTATGTGGTAAATATCAAATTCACTAAACAGAAAAAGGGAAAGAAAAAAAAGATAACATATGTCTGCAACCCATTTTTTATTTACTACTTCGTATGTGCACATAGCTAAGTCGTCAAGAATCTCAGTTAACAAGTTTTAATAGCTGCAGATTTTGGGGCCTATCAAGTATCATATGGGGACAAGGGTGTGCAGTAGATAAGCAGATATTGACACTAGCATACAGTGGAAAGTGAAAACTCTCACAATATAACGTAAAAGCGCAATAAAAGCACCACATTGTACGATGCTACAGCAGTAACAACTAATATCAACTAATACATCAAGTTAGTACTTTATCTCAAAATCCACTCAGTTTAGCAATCAAGAAGTAGCTGAACAAACCTTATCAAGATATTGAACTAAGTTTCTTGGAGAACCACGTGCAATCCTAACTATAGTCATGAGGGATACCACATGAACAGGTGAATCAGAGGCAGTTGACCAGATCTGGCTTTCTATGACATTCAGAAAGGCCAATACGTCAGCCATTGCTAAACTTGGAAGAAGAATTCCAACCAAAGTATCACGAATCATAACAGATGTAGATGGATTCTTGGAAGGTGTATTAGCGGATGAACCACTGACACACTCAATTTGGAAGAATATGTCCCCGATCAGGCGCGGTATTTCAGAACCAATGCTTGCCTTCCATGTGCTTTCCATCCCTTCTGCTAGAATTTCTGCGGCAGTAGAGCTATATTTCTCATTCATCGCCATAACCAACTTCACCAATGGATTAACAGCCAAGACAACAAGATTTGGTTTCACAAGGCTAGGATACCAAACAGCCAATGCAGCAGCAACAATGATATGGGATGTCATTGCATCTTGGCTCGTTCCCCCAACACAAGAAATCCAATCTTGCATTTCAAATGATTCTAGCCATGATCTTATTTCAGATTGTTCATCCTCAGAGTTCCCTTCGGTGACAATTTGACTGTCATCCTTCAAGCAGTTGGTGGGTTCTTCTGTGGAGACTGCATCATGGTTTCCAGTTGGTGATACTCCATTCTCTTTATCTCTTGTATTATCCCGACGTAGTGGAGATGGTATAGCCCGTGAAGCAGCACAATGAAATAAGGAACGTGCTGCCATCTTAACATGCTCAGCCTCGTCTTGCCAAAAGCTCACCAAAAGCTTCAAAACAGAGATTTCAAACCATTAAGAAATAGCTTTGCCAAGATCTATTAGTTAAACACTACAAATCCTAAAGAATCAATGTATCAAACTGTTGCAACAAGTAGAGAAAATAACACCACCCGTGTGGCATGAGTTATAGCGACAATGTATTTGAGAAGTTCCCAGAGCTAGGCAGATAGATAGACTATTTTCCTGCTGTTAAGGGAGAGCAAGAAAGAAAATCAAATGTTTGTTTTTTAACCAGCGCCCTCTTTTGGGTATGCAGGTACTAAGAGTCCTCTCACTACACCAGCAGACATCATCTTGCCGGTATCAACAAAGAGGAAGAAAGAATCAAATGGTTTTTTTTTGTGGGGGCTAACTAGTAGAGTTTTGGAGGGTTTTGCTATTAGTATGGTGTATCACATCCGACTCATAAAACCTTCTCGCAGCACTGCTTTACTGATGCATGGTAGCGTAGCATATGTAGGAGTACATACATTGTCGAAGGTGAAGTTGCTTACAACCAAGAAATATAATTTTGTATCAGTCATCAGCCTTGAATAAAGAACCTTGCAATTACAAATGCAAGGCCCAGACAAGCTTTCCATTATATTTTCTTTCTATTACTTAGGCAAATTCAAAGGGACCTGCCTCATAAATCAGGCAGACTTTCAGATGGACTTCACTTACACTAAAATTATGAGTTGCTCATAGAATTAACGAAAATCCAAATGGAGTATAAAAATGAGTGGTGCAGAAGAAAGAATTATAAAAACGGAGTCTGACGGCATCTCTTGCCTCTCATGGAAGGTATTCAGCTATCTGAACTACTTATTAGATAAGGGCAGCAGAATCGTTATGCACACACAAACACACACAACAAAATAAAGAACCTAACATCAAGGTAATCATTTATCTTCACTTGTACCTCAAGAAGGAAAAAAGAATCTTGATTATATTTTGATCTTAAAAAAAGAATCTTGACTATATCCGCCTCCAAAATCGAGTTCATCAGGAATCTTGACCCGCCCCCTCCCCCAACCCCACCAAAAAAAGAAAAGAAAAAAAAGAAGCGCTATTCAGATGATTTGTTACCTGAAGCAGGGGAGGCTTTATATCAGAAACTTTCTCAGCAAAGCTCCGCATGTAAAATGCTGACAAAGAACTAGAAAAGACAAATAACACAATGACAGGAGTGTTATAAGAGTTCGGAGGCAAATGAGGCTTCTAACAATGAAATGCCAGATGACACTGCATCTATGTAATGCAGACAGACAGTAGATCGAGTTTGACATGGCGTTTCTCTAAAACATGTTGCATAAACCCGGTAAGGACACAACAAATGGTAAGAAAAGTTGCAGATGTGAGTGTCTTTTACTTTTTGATGATGGGAGCAATGACATATAGTAGCCAGAAAGTATGCCACAGCAATATCATACCTGCTGGCTGCCTGAAAG